AATTGGGGGTGCTAACATCGAACGAGTATATGAAATCAAATTTCTGGGTGTCATGGTTGATGACAGATTCTCCTGGAAATCTCATATCAGATATGTTCAGCATAAAATAGCTAAAAATATATCGATATTGGCAAGGGTTAGATATATGCTGGGCGTGAAAGCACTTCGCATTTTGTATTCTTCATTGATTTTACCATACTTGGAGTATTGCGTTGAAAACTGGGGAAACACATACATAAGCTCACTTCAACCATTGTATATATTACAAAAAAGAGCAATAAGAATTGTGCATAAGCTGGGATACAGGGATCACACCAATGGAGCTTTCATACAGTCTAAATTTTTAAAATTTTTTGATTTAGTTGGACACAAGACTGCTGTGTTTATGTATAAAGCCAGGAACAATTTATTACCTGGTGGAATTCAAAAACTATTTAATGAAAGAGAAGGGGGATACAATCTAAGGGGTCAGTTAAATTATAAAATTCATGCTATACGCACAACCAAAAAAAGATTTTGTATTTCCATAAGTGGGGTAAAACTATGGAATAATTTAAGTGTGGACATAAAAAACAGTATTGATGAGTTTAAACACAGATATAAAGGTATGTGTCAATCAAGATATGAGCAAGAACAGGCTTAATGATTAATCAGATGGGAGTGTGGATGTAGAACAAAATTATCCATGTAGTAATACTGCTTGCAAACCAATGATGATAAGATGATGTTAGGGGGTAGGACTAGATAAGTCTAACTTCTTCCTACTCTGTTCAAGCATGTACTAGGTATAAGCAAATTGAAAATATGTTGGTGGATATGTCTGGAATTATGTGTGGTTACATACTGACTGTTGTTACATGTTTGAAAGAATAAATCAAATCAAATCAAATCAAATCAAATCAAGGTGTCATGGGAGGACCCCTGGCAATCTAGGCCTATTGCAACATAACTAAGGGAAGGCTTGGGTTCACCTGATCCAGCCCTAACTATAAGCTTTATCAAAAAGTAAAGTTGTAAGTCTAGTCTTAAATGTAGAGAGGGCGTCTGCCTCCTGAACTGAGACTGGGAGCTGGTTCCACAGGAGAGGAGCTTGATAGCTAAAGGCTCTGCCTCCCATTCTACTTTTGTGGACTCTAGGAACCACAAGCAGACCTGAACTCTGAGAGCAAAGTGCTCTGTTAGGATGATAAGGCTCTGTGAGGTCTTTGAGATATGATGGAGCCTTGTCATTAAGGGATTTGTATGTTAGGAGAAGGATTTTAAATTCTATTCTGGATTTTACAGGGAGAGAAGCTAATATGGGAGAGATATGATCTCTCTTGCTAGTTGCTGTCAGTACTCTGGCTGCAGCATTTTGGAGTAACTGGAGGCTTTTTAGGGAATTATTGGGACATCCTGATAGTAAGGAGTTACAGTAGTCCAGCCTGGAAGTAACAGTGCAGTTCTAGAGACTTGGTTTATGTGTGATTTAAAGGTTATGACTCCAGGGTTCCTCCCAGCAGTGCTGGAGGCCAGAGCGGTGTCATCTAGAGTAACTATATACTTAGACAGCAGATTTCTAAGGTTTTCAGGCCCAAGTACAATGACTTCAGTTTTGTCACAGTTTAAATGCAGAAAATTACAGATCATTATGGCCTTTATGTTTTTTGTTTGACTAACTGATCTGATTCATCTGGGTTCATAGATAAATATAGCTGAGGATTGTCTGCATAGCAATGGAAATTTGTGCCATGTTTCCTGATAATACTGCCTAAGGGAAGCATGCATAAAGTGAAGAGAAATGGACCTAGTACAGACTCCTGTGAAACCCTGTGACTAACTTTACTTTATATGGATGATTCATCATTGACATGAACAAACTGGAATCTATCTGATAAATAGGATTTGAACCAACTTAGTGTGGTTCCTTTAATCCCAATATCATGTTTCACGCTCTGTAACAAAATGTTGTGAACAGTGATGTCAAACACAGCACTAAGATCTAGGAGGACATACAAAGATGAGTCCTTTGTCTGAGGCTAGGAGGAGATCAGAATTAGCTTTGTTGGCTAGGTGTGTTAGACACGAGGACTTTGACTTTGGCACAGTGGCTCTCAATGAGTATGTACAATGTTCTTCCATAAAGAAACGAGTAGACAAGTGAACAAGATAACAACAACAACAAAAAAACAAAACCATAATGTACAAACAAGAAAAAGAATGGAATGGAATGTGTATTAGGAAAATTCTCTGACCTCCCTTGACAGTGTGTTCCTGGCCTGGCTGTACAGAGTCCTGTCCCCACTTTTGTAGGCCTCCTCTTTGGCACAATGAAGCTGCTTGAGTCTTACCGTGGACCAGGACTTCTTGTTGTATGTGCAGAAAGTCTTGGTGGGAACATGCACATTCTCACAAAAGCAGATATAAGATGTGACAGTGTCAGTGAGTTTGTCCAGGTCTGTAGCTGCAGACTCAAATACACTCCAATCTGTACAGTCAAAGCAGCCCTGTAGCTCTGACTTTGGCTGCTCAGTCCATCTCTTCAATGTTTTGAAAACAGGCTTTGCAGCTTTAAGTTTATGCCTATATTTTGAGATGAGATGGATGATGCAGTGAGTCAGGGCTGCATGGGGACAGAGCAATAAACATCTTTTATTACAGTTAGCTGTGGTCCAGTGTGTTTTTGTCACTGGTGGGACAACTGACATGCTGTCTGTATTTAGGCAGCTTGTGGGTGAGATTTGCTTTGTTAAAGTCCCCCAGAACAATGAGTGGGGAGTTGTGAGGTTTCAGTTCCATGCTAGTTATCTGTTTGACCAGGAGCTGTAGCGTGCTAGCATGGGCCCGCTGTGTTATATACACTCCGACTGGAATGAATGATGAAAATTCTCTGGGAGAATAAAATGGTTTGCAGTTGATGAAAAGAATTTCTAAGTCCGTGTTGCAAGTTCTCTCTAACACTGGCATTTTTACACCAACCTTCACTTATGTAGAAGCAGATTCCATCTCCTCCTGTTTTCCTGGATAACTCAGTTACATGCTCTGTATACCTGGAACCCTGGTATTTGCATTGCTCTGTCTGAGATGGAATCACCGAGCCAAGTCTAGAGAGCAGCAGAGCATGAGAAGTCATAGTTAGTCTGGTTGACAAGAAGGAGTTCATCCATTTTATCAGCTAGAAAGCAGAGATTTTCTAGATGGATAGACATGGGTGGTGTCTGGGACCCTCTCTGTCATAACTTAACCAGGGCCACCACAAAAGTTGGAGGAAAGGTGTTCAGAGTGAGTTGGCTCAGAGTGAGATGTTTAGTAGATCTCCTCTGGACTAAGATGCTGTGATCAGTGGTGTCAAAAGCAGGACTGAGATCTAAGTGGAGAAGTATAGAGACAATTCCTTTGCCTGAGGCTAGGAGGAGATCGTTGGTGACTTTCACCAGTGCAGTTTCTGTACTATAATGGACTCTAAATCCTGACTGAAACTCTTCAAATCATTCTTGTGCAACAGATCATATAATTACTTTGAAATGGCTTTTTGTATCTTTTACATCTTAGCTTTGTGCCATTTAAACTTATTGACTGGACTTGGACAGCTTACATGTCAATAAAAAGTGGAAAGTGGAGTTGACCCCAAAATTTTGGACAGTAGTGAGTCTGAAATTGAAAAGCTAAAATGCTGCACTTCATCAAGGTAGTTCATAACTACTGAACCTCTATCCCCCCTTCCCTCCAGATCTCAGTGAAACAGCCATCACAGTTTTCTCAGTGCTGGGTCTGTTCTCCTCTCAGGCCACTGCCTCCCTATGCATCCTCTTCACTGCTGAGGTCATGCCCACCATCATCAGGTAACAAAGGCAACACAGACACTTTCTGCTGTCAAAAACTGCATTTGAAAAGTTAGTGGCTTTTGCTCTCAAATACTGTAGTTTGGTAAAATTATTGTGTGTGTATAAACAGGGGCAGTGGTGTGGGTGCTGTGCTCGCCCTGGGATGCGTGGGCCAACTCAGCTCCCCACTCATGGACCTGAGGAACCACTATGGCTACTTCCTGCACCATGTGGTGTACTCATCTCTGGCCCTGCTTGCTGTACTGTCTATTCTACTGCTGCCTGAGAGCAAGAGGAAGCCGCTCCCCCAAACACTGGTCGATGGGGAACAGTACAGGCGACCCCCTCTGGGCAGGAGGAGGAGGGACAATGTGCCGCTGCTCGCCACACCCAACCCAGAGACCTAAAAGACCAAGCTACTGGGGGATAGAGTGTACTCAAATCAGTCAATGTACAGCCTGAATATTTACATTCACCATGTTCATGCGCAGGGACAGGAAAGCGCAGTAATGAAGGAGTGAGAGTAGGGGGTTACATAGATGATTGTGGACTGATGTGATCAGACACCCTAAACTTCCTAACCTACCCTCTAGTCATTCCAGAGCTGGGTGGGTTGAGCAGCTCGCCACTGACACTCCTGATTTGGGGCCAGATGTATAAAACTCCGTGTAGATTCATGACTAGAACTGTGTGTATGCACTAAGACTGAAGTGAGTGTACACATTGTTTTTGTCATATTTATCAGGACGCATGTACACCTGGTTCTGTTTTATAAACCTCAAGCATTGCAGAATTGGGCCCATGTGCAGAGCTTCTTTTCCACTCCCACTTTTAGCCTTAAATAGATGTAGACACACCCTTAATTAATCATTTGTATAGAGAACTGCTGTTTGAATCACATTATTAGACAAGGCAATGAAAGCAATGCTAAAGAAGTCTGATTTCACTGATTCAGTGGCTGAAGCAGCAAAGCAACCCCAGAACATCAGTGACCCTCCACCGTGTTTGACTGTAGGTACTGTGTTCTTTTCTGTAAAGGCCTCATTTCATTTTCTGAAAAAAGTATTGTTCTTTTTTGTTCACGTCCAGGGAGATTACCTACAGCACTGCAAGCTGCAAACTTCTTGACAATGTTGGCACAGTGGACACAGGAGCAGCGAGATCTCTGGAGATGGACTTGGAGATTGTCCAGGCATTCCACTATTGTGGTTCTCAAATCCTCAGACAGTTGTTTGCTGTAAACTACTGATATGAATGTCATTTAAAAAAAATTTAATGGAGATTGAGACACCACTAGTCTAAAAAACAGTTGTGTGATTAAATTACAATGATCTTTAAATGTCTGTAGCTGTGTGTAATGGTTGTGCATAAGGATGGCTGTTCTGGTGGATCATGACAATGCCTGTAAGGCCATGTTGCTAAAACTGTGATGTGTTCATCTGCTGTAGATAAGGTAGAAGGTGCCGGTCCTTCTGTTGCCCTTTTGCTCTCTTTGTACATACATATGCACTTTTCTGCCTCTCACTTACTGTACAATCTAACCACTTCTTCTTCTTTTTCCCCTCAGCCCCTATACTCTGAACTGACAGTACTGGTAGCCTGCCAGTCAGCAGCTTTTCTTCTGCTCATGATTCCTGAATTGAGACCACCAAACCAGTCATATTTCTTTTCCCTACCTCTCCAATGAGCCTCAATATTACAGTCATTGAAATCAGACTTCTTCTTTAGCATTGCTTTCATTGCCATGTCTAATAACATGGTTCTATGCAAATGATTGATTAAGGGCGAGTTTATATTTATTTATGGCTAAAAGTGGGGTTGGAAAGGAATCTCTGCATGTGTGCCCAATTCCGCAATGACTGACATTTATAAAACAGAACTGAGCATATGTGCGTTTTTATAAATCTGACAAAAACAATACGTACGCTTACTGTCTGTCTTAGTGTGTGCACAGTTTCTGTCATGAATCTACAGAGAGGTTTATGCATGGGAAAAGGTGTACCCATGGTTTTTTTGTGTTTACGCATCATTTATGCATCTGACCCCTGGCTAGGACAGTAGTCTCAAATTAATATTTGTTTAAACCTGCATAGACTGTTTCCATTCGCACTCGCATATTCATACACCGGTGACATCACCGGGAGCAACTAGGGGGTCGGTGTGTTTTTCTCAAGGACACTGCGACATGTGGACTGAACAAGCCAGGAATCTAACCACCAACCTTCTGGTTAGAATACAATCTGCTCTACCTCATGAGCCACAGCCGCCCCAAAGTCAACTTTGTGTACTGTACTTTGGTGTACAAGTGAAGTGACACGCTCTCCTTGGGCAATCCAAACAGGAGTTGTCTAGCTAAGGGCACTGTGGGTGTTATATGCCTTGTAAATACTCTGCACTTTGTTTCTTTACCTTCTTGGGCCATCTGAGTTTTGTTAAAAGAGATCCTGTGGCTGAAAAGTGTATGTACATAATGCTATGAGGAAGAAAAGCTGTGCAGAGGATTTTGACTCATTGTTTTTAAAGATGATGGTGGTTAATTTGACTACACAGTTGTATGATTGTTAGAGGTAAACAAGCAAAACAAATGCCCTTTAATCAGAAAGGTGTTCTTGTTGGAAATGTGTGAATCCAGTTTCTGAATCTGGCCTGGAGCCAGTTATACTGTATCTTATGTTGTTAACATGCATAATCACTAAATTATTCAGAGGCCTGGCATTTTAAGTATTAAGCTAAATATTGTTACGTTGGGTTGGGCTGTCACAGCATGGAACAAACTGTACATTCTCTCTGTTCAAACAGCATTCCTGTCTGCATGTTTGGAAACACTTGTTAGCTTCTAGTTCCTCAGCAGAGTCTGCTGTAGGAGAATAAATCTTCATGTATGGTGGTGTGCTCAGGTTATTCTGATCCATGTTTTTATGGGTTTGCGGTGTGAAGAAGATGCAGTTTTTTTTTAATTTGCACTGATATTGAGGAGTTATTAAAGGAATTATGAAGGATGCTGAACCTCTGCTGATGACTTCTCCTCTGTCAGCTTTTTTTTTTTTCTGTATGTTGCACAGAAGAAGTATATGATGTTGCACACATCTGTGCAACTCCTAACACACTCATTCAGTTTATTCACCTGGGCTGGTGAAATCAGATACACCTTAGGGTCATTGTAACCTATATAACTATACTGGTCATGGCGCTGGTAAGGATCCATTTCATTTCAACAGATTATGTGAATGAGTATGATAAGAATACTGTACCTGTATCATGAGGGGAGAGACATTAAATCCTCAAAGGTTTGCACCCTCATCTGGCCAAACATATGCTGCAGCAGCATCTCCATATGTGTCCCAATCAGGTCCTGCAGAGACCTCTGAAGTGAAGAAAAGAGTTAGAAGAAGAGTTTTACCACCTCCTTACTGGTTACAAAATAAATGAGATAACTTCAATAAAATAATTTTTATTCAAAAACTATCATCTCAGTGTTTTTACAATCAAAGAAATTTTTTCATGGTATATGCTGTATGGTGATAGGGTGCATAGTTTTTTTTATAACAAGATGTCTTTCAACAGAATATAATATGATGATATGTTAAATGAAAGTTCTCATGCATGGCAAAACAACCCTGATTTATAATGATGCACAGTAGAACGGGGAAAAACTACATAGCTCGCCCTTATTTAGGAAATATCACTGTAGCACTACTGTCCACTATGGCTGCTTGGAGAATCTGCTACTGCTTCTAGTTTCGGCTGTTCCCATTAAGGGTCACCACAGCGAATCAAGCGTTCGCATGTATACATTTTGGCACATGTTGTTTTCTTTAAACAATGGATGCCCTTCCTGGGCTGTGGGAGGAAGCCAGAGCACTTGGAGAACATGCAAACGCCACACAGAAAGGTCACAAACCTGGGACCTTTTTGTCATGAGGCGACAGCGGTAACCACCGCACCACCATGCTGTCCTGGCTGCTTGAAGAATAACGTAGTATAATGATAAGCCTCTGCATCACTAGTGGTAGTTCTATGAATAACATGCTGTATATTGCATGTTGCATGTTACAATGACTGCGGGCAGCACAGTGGTTAGCGTTGTCGCCTCACAGCAAGAAACTACATTCAATACAGTATGTATTAAACATATGCATTATATGTTCTCTCGTTTACCTAGAAGAAATTCTTAATTTGAATGTATTTGAACACAAAAATCCCTATGTCATAAACTATTACATACTTCACACAGTACTGTTCAGAGGTTTTAGACCACTGTTAAATTTGTTGTTTTAACAATGTTATGGTGGATATATATCCCCCACTCGCCCCCACTTCGGGGCGGTCTTGTATTCCTTCCTTCAAGCTCGGGTCCTCTACCAGAGGCCTGGGAGCTTGAGGGTCCTGCGCAGTATCATAGCTGTTCCCAGGACTGCACTCTTCTGGACAGAGATCTCAGATGTTGTTCTGGGATCTGTTGGAGCCACTCTCCCAGTTTGGGGGTCACAGCCCCGAATGTTCCTATTACCATGGGGACCAATTGTACCTTCACCTTCCACATCTTTTCTAGCTCTTCTTTCAGCCCTTGGTATTTCTTGAGCTTCTTGTGCTCCTTCTTCCTGATGTTGCTGTCGCTTGGGATTGCTACAATATAACAACAATACTTTCTAACAATGTATACAGTATATAGCCCAGACTGTCAGAAAATCAACTGGCATGAATTTCAGTGATGATTCTGACCACATTATCCATCCATCCATCCATCCATCCATCCATCCATCCATTTTCCTCCACTTATCCAGAACCGGGTCGCGGGGGCAGCAGTCTAAGCAAAGATGCCCAGACTTCCCTCCCACATTATCAGTATTTAAATGCAAAACAGTGACAGGAACATATATATGAGCATTTAAAAATCAATATATGCATATGATGCAAGATTTAAATTGTGACCAATTTAAATTGTGACCAATTTAAATTGGCGATATATAATGTCTGGCTGCCTACTTTGGCAACCATTGCTTCTCCCATCAGTTAACCTCAGCGCATGTTGTTACTGTGCATTTGATGTGTTTCAGCTTGAACTGTAACAATTCCTCTTATTTATAATTCTTGATTGAAATGTTTTCCTTACTAATTTTTGTTAGCTTCTTAGTCTCGTTCAGATGGATGCATGTCACAGAAACAGTCAATAAACGGTTGTGTGTTGCATCTTAATGGAGATGGGTAAACATACCGGACGCACATAACATTATGCATAACCAGCCACATCATTTCAACAGACTTTCTCTTGTAAAAGTAGAACACAAAAAAACTACTGACTGGGGCTACCTTCTAATGTAATGCACACTGGCTGACAAAAATAAAAATATAATAAAATAAAAATAAAGGCTTGACTAGAAGAATGCCAGTTGACTGAAAGGTCTTGCAACTAATGACTGGACTATTCGACTATTAGGGTACAGCCCTACTTCACACCTCAGTTTGACAGTGGTATTCCACATCTCTCTGTTGTCTTTGTGTTTGTAGTCAGGTCTGAGTAGTTTTATGATATTGTTCATTAAAATTTTAGTTTCTTCCAACCATCTCTTGTCTGCACTTGGGCCCTCATTTTCTGAAATTGTGACACTTGTTATGTAACACACTATTTGCTGATATAATGTGAAGGGCATTTCTAATTAGTCAATCAACAAGCTAACACTAATCACATTTAGAATAACTATTAAAGGCACTTTAAACAGACATTCTAAAGCTCTTAGTAATTTACAACCTTATGTAGGTCATACTGTTGTTCCCCGAGCTGAGATTGGTTATTCATACTTCTCATTGCAGCTAACACATGGGCAGCTGTGTACATGTCTGCTCCACTTCTACAGATGATGTTGTTACTACACTGTGCTCTCCAGCTGGATGGATCAAACTGAATGAGATGTTTCAGTTCACATGAAAGGGTTAGGGATATCATTGTTTCCGTTTATATGAGGAATAACCTGGTTTATGACCTCAGTAGCAATAAGGAGTTTTTTTTACCTATAATAAAACTACACAGAACACAATCCTAAATGTGAAATCCAATTAATGAAATATCTCATCTCACTGTCTTGGTTTCAACCAGTGACAGCAGACATAAAGCATGGCATTATTTTACACAGAGCATTGAAGTTGTGTTGGCACTGACTGATTGGCATCAGCTGTTGCAATCAGCTGTAAAATTATCAGCGTATTCACAGCTGTGTGGCAAGCAACATCAAATCATATTCATGCAGGTGTACAGCAAGGACTTTCTAACCTGACACTTAAAGTCCCCATGGCATACCCTACCTTCAGATGTTACTCTACTGAGATCGTTTTAGAAGCCAGTACACATTGGCTCATTGAGGAAGTGTTAAATTTAGTCTGAAGTAACCCATAGAAGCCATGACATTGGCCACATGTCACTGTGGTTTTAGTGCACAGTGTTTAGCTGACATTAGTTAACTTCCTAGGATTAGACACTCATAAGTTGGAATAAGTAGATAACTGACAAATTATTCAAAAGTGTTTTCTAATACAATTCTATTTAAAAATTATGTCAACAATCTGGTTTTAACAATCAATCATCACTACTTCACTGGAGAGGTTAACCACATTTAAGCTAATTAAATCTTAATCTATCTAATAAATATATGCAGCTTTAAAGAGTCCATGGCTTCTCATTTCCAGGCATTTAGATTATCTTGGCACCCCTCATAACTCCAAATAAAACAAATAATAAATAAGCAATAAAAGACAACCATATACATAGTATGCATGAAAAATATTAAAATATATAGTAATAAAAAACACCTAAATCTTCAAACCATGAAGCGAAAATATACCCAAGACCTCTTCATCCTCTCCAAATTATCACTTTGGACATTGGCAACAAGGATGCTGGACACAGCATGTATTCATGCACAAAATGTATACACATAATCAATATAATTGAATATGAATAGATTGAGTAGCATAATAGTAAAATGAGCAACGGAGCAGTCAGCAGCACATCACCTGCAAGTATGCTAACTGTCATTCATGCCCAACATGAAAACATGACCTTGATGATTTATATTTGGTGTTTTATATGTCTTGTTATTATTGCTGTTACTTTGTGTCATGTAATCTCTTGATTGTAGGAGAGTGTGTCAGCTCTTGTAAACAAGTAAACAATAAAGACTTTTAGGAAACTGCACCAGAGCAGCTTCAGTGCTCTTTGTATGAGTGAAGAAACACCATTCCTCCAAAACATTGTTTTTAATCCCATAATTGGTCTAAATCCTTTTGTATTGTTTAGTATGTGGCACATAGTGAATCACCAAAGGTAGATGCCTAACTGTACTCAAAGAAATAACCTTAGTGTGCTATAGCAAAATACCTGCTCACCAGGCCTGTCGCTGTGTGGTTTGTCAAAAACCAGAAACCTTTCCAACAAATCTAACAGTATAACCTTTTTAATCAGTTCAAGGTTTGTATTTTGCACTACTGAATGTTGTCCAGCTTTTCCTAAAAGAAGGCTATTTCAGTTTATAATTCTATCCATATGAATACACATTAGTCTATTAATATAATCACTGAAAATAATATTTACCACGTTAAAAGTCAAAACTATGTCCAATCTGCATCTTAATATCAACCTTGTGACTGGCCGCAATGTTTAGCTTGATAATATGTGATAATGTCAATTAAACTTTTATAAAACAAGGCCATTTGGCCAACTATGCTGGTTCAGAAAATTAGGCAGCAGGCAAGTGTACAGTGTGGATGATTCACTCCATTTGTTTTATGACAGGTCATGATGTTCTTACTCTCTGGAGGAAGTTCACTCTGTCCAGCTTTTTTGTCTTACTGGGAGAACAGGGCCCTCGCAGACACTCTCTACTTCAGGAGATGACCAGGGGAGTCCACATTACATATGCTCCAGGAGGAGCCATGGTCACTCTGGATGTCAGCCACAGTGATCCAGGGCAGCAAAGAGCACTGAGTGGCTACTGTCCTGTTGGTGGGTGGGGATCGATGATCTAGGTACCGCATCGGGCAGAGCGACTCTGAGTCGAGAGCAGAGTAGTGACTGCTCATCCAATAGTCTGTGCATCTTCTACTCAAAAACAAAAGAATCATAATCAGAAAACATATACAACAACACAAAGTATCATATTTTCAACAAAAGGAACTTTTCATTAATAAAAATGCAAGCTGCTATATGCGGTAGTGCAGTGGTGCAGAAATAAGGCATTATGAGCATGTGGAGTTGGGGCTAGCATTAGAAATGTCCAAACAAACCAGATTCTTTCATTCTCTTTAAAAATACCAGAGATACCCGACTTTGATTCATGCCACTGATGTCATGACATGAAAATATGAGGAAAGAGTCTTTCCCTCCTGTCAGTTATGTACTGCATTCCTAAAGTATGATGTCAAAACTATTTATTGTAGAAGTACTGTAAATACATTTTCACTCAGTAGTCCGCTAATATCACTGACCAGCTTTTATGTGCAGGAGGAATCCAAAAATGTATTTAGTGTGAATGCACACCTAAAACACTGGGTGTTCATTCATGCTAAATTAATTTTTTTCTTCCTTCTGCACATAAAAGGTGATGGTCATGGAAAACTGAATCAAAAATGAGAAAATGACCACACAATGAAAACTTACGAGATATTAAAAAAGTGTAGCCAACATTGAGTTGAGGTGTAACTTCGCTAAAACAATGTCAGACTCCATAGTTTTCTATGGACCCCTGCCCAATCTGACCAGTGATGACATCTTTAGCCACAAGTTGTCATTCAACCACTGGCTGTCTAGGTGGTGCCCAGAAAATAACATGGGCTTCATAGATAACTGGAAAACATTTTGGGGAAAACCTGGTCTGATTAGCAGATCCATCCATCCCACTTTGGGTGGTGCGGCTCTCATATCTAGAAATCTGGACCAGTTTATTTTACAACCTAAATTATGACAACTCAGAGTTGAGTCCAGGACACAGGGTCGCAGTCTTACACGCCTCTCTGCTGTCTCTTTGCAGCTGCTACCCACCCAAAACTCCCAGTACCCCATAGAGACTGTGTCTGCCCCCGCCCACCTAAATTATATAAATCAAAAATCAACTCGGGAGGAGTTATTCATAAGAACCAAATTAAAATTAAGACTACTGCTCTTATAGTAGAAAGTAACAGGACAATCAAATGTGGACTATTAAATATCAGATCTCTCTCATCTAAATCTCAGTTAGTGAATGATTTGATAAGTAAACATCACATTGACTTATTGTGTCTTACTAGACCTAAACATAGTTATAACTCATTTGAAAGTCTCACTCTGAGTCTCTCATACCCAAACTAGAAAACTCAAAAGCCAGTTCTATTTGTTATTGTTTATCATCCACCTGCTCCTTATTGAGAGTTTTTAAGTGGATTCTCAGACTTTCTGTCTGATTTAGTGCTTAGTACAGATAAAATAATCATAGTAGGTGACTTTAATATTCATGTAGATGCCGACAATGACAGCCCCAACAATGCATTCTGTTCATTGTTAGACTCAGCTGACTTTTCTCAAACTGTAAATAAACCCACTCACTGTTTTAGTCACACCCTTGATCTTGTTCTGACATATGGCATCAAAACTGAACACTTAATAGTTTTTCCCCAAAGCCCTCTTCTGTTTGACCATTTTCTAATAACTTTTGAATTTACATTAATGGATTTTACTCTATGTGGGAAACAATTCCACTACAGTAGATGTCTATCTGACAATGCTGTTACCAAGTTTAAGGAAATAATTCCATCATTATTTACTTCAGTGCCATTTGCCAACACAGTGGAGGGAGGCCACCTTAACTTTACTCCCACACAAGTCGATAATCTTGTTGATAGTACTGCAGCCTCCCTGCGTAATACACTTGATACTGTTGCCCCTCCCTTCTCCTCTCCTTCCCGCTCCTCTCCTTTCTCTCCATCCATCTATATGCCACCACTACCCGTCACTAACTTTGTATCTCCTCTCTCCCGTAGTGTGTCCTCTCTCTCACTCTCCCTGTACCTTTCTGCAGGTTGCCCTGGCTCTGGCGCTCTACATTTCTGATGATTAGTCACCGACCACATCAACCTGACCAGTGTTTCATTGTTTGTTGTGTCCTGTTGCTTTTCTTCTTTTCTCTCTCCTCTATCCACTCACCCCAACCGGTTGAGGCAGGAGGTCACCCAACAAGAGCCAGGGTCTGTTGGAGGTTTCCTCTGTTAAAGGGAGTTTTTCCTCCCTGCTGTCACCAAGTGCTGCTCAAGGGGGGTTTGTTGGGTTTTCCTCTATAATAATAGTGATAATTGTAAGGTCTAGACCTTACTCTGTAAAGTGTTCTGAGATTACTTTTGTTGTGATTTGGCCATATACAGTACAAATAAAATTTGTAACCAACAACAATTATATAGTGTAATTTACTCACAGCTGCATCCAGTGTGTGAAGTGCACAGGGGTCTTGGGAAGTATTTGTATGTAACTTTATAAACACTTCATTAATTTGAAAATAAAGCAATCCAAATATATTGTAATCATGACATCTGTAGTGCCGTATCAAAAGTGACAAGAAACTGATTGTGGTCCATAGGAGCAGACAGTCTGCTGAAGATGTGTTGCCCACCATCATAAAATGCAAAAATAGACAACTTATATCCCCTTGGCAGTAACAAAAACATGTCTGTGAAACTTGACCATTTGAGGAATTTGTAACTGAGCAGTTAGTGACAGCTTTGCACAGTGAGTTTGGACTAACTGTGCTATGCTCTTCTGTTCTTTATTGTGTGGATGTTTTGAAGCATCCACACTATGTTATCCTGTTCTTTATTATTCTGATTTCTTCCGTCCATTTTTTCGCACTTAATTTCTTCAGCATACTTTCAGCTACAAAAGCCATGAAGTTATCAAAATGTTCAGCTCTTCAAGGACATTCATGCTTCTCTTCAGAATTTTTCTAAACCTCATACCTTTGAAATATATAGCTTTATTTTGAAAGTCTTGCCCTCTTCAAATAAATGGGAAAATTCTACTTCAGCATACTTTCAGCTATTTCAGGTATCAAAATGTTCAGCTCTTCAAGGACATTCATGCTTCTATGCAGAATTTTTCTAAACTTCATACTTTTGAAATATTTAGCTTTATTTTGAAAATCTTGCCCCATACAAATGAATGGGAGAAATTCTACTTTAGCATACTTTCAGCTATCAAAATGTTGAGCTCCTCAAGGACATTCATGCTGCTATTCAGAAGTTTTCTAAACTTTACACGTTAGAAATATTTATCTTTACTTTGAAAATTTTGCCTCATTCAAATGAATGGGGAAATTCTACACTCAGCATACTTTCAACTATCAAAATGTTCAGCTCTCCAAGTACAATCATGCTCCTCTTCAGAGTTTTTCTAAACTTCATACTTTTGAAATATTTATCTTTATTTTGAAAGTTTTATTTGATATAAATGAATGGGAAAATTTTACTTCAGCATACCTTCACCTATTTCAGGTATCAAAATCTTTAGCTTTTCAAGGACATTCATGCTTCTATTAACAATTTTTCAAAACATCACAGTTTTAAAATCTTTAGCTTTATTCTGAAAAATGTGCCCCTTTCAAATGAATGGGGAAATTCTACCTAAGCATACTTTTAGGTATTTCAGGTATCAAAATGTTCAAGTCTCCTAGGACATTCACTCTTCAACTCAGAATGTTTATACGCTTCACACTTCTGAAATATTTAGCTTTATTTTGAAAATTTCCCCCCATTCAAATTAATGGGAAAATTGTACTTCAACATACTTTCAGGTAGATATGCCTTTCAGGTGTCAAACTTTTCAGCATTTTCAGGGCAATCCTTCAGCACATAGCATCCACACGCATTTTTGACAGGAAATGCATTTCTCTAGTTTTACCTGTTGTCAGTAATGCCTGATTGATCAGGATTTGTTAAGGCTCATGAACTGCTTTCAAGTGTCTGTCTCTAATTATTGTAGCTGAATTTGGTGTCAGATCTGCAATTCTCAGAGGCGAGCCCCATGCCTCAGCTCAACTCTCCCCACCCCCTAACATGCATGATGTAATTTGCACCCTGGCTGCATTATAAAAAAGCAGATGGTGCATCATGACACACCAACCTTGACTGACCATATTCATATCTATAGCCACATACTGAGGTTTCATGTTATATATCTTATTTGAAAATGATACTTCTAAATTAACAAACTGATAGGGAAATGATAAAGAAAATGTTTAGACATGGCTTTGCTTCTTGTGTGTAACTAATGTTTACCATGAACAAATGTTGTGCAGTCATTGTAAAAGGATGTTTTTTAGCTTACAGAAGTCCAGAAACTGCTTGTAAAAGTTTATTGCTCTTTAGGTTGGAAAGTCAGGACATAGGCGACGGCTGATAAGAAAACACACATGGTGACCTGACACTTGGAGGGGACAAATGTTTGCCTGGCAGAACAAAGAGCAATAAAACTGCAATGACTAGTATAAGTAGCTCTCGGGGAGGTTCACTCCTTTGAGCTTCCTACAGTGACACTTTTGAGTAGCTGTTGTATGTTCCTTCTTGCAAGTATAATTAAAAAGACGCCTTGATAATTTTCAAAAGTCTCAGTATTCCTTTGTCTCATATGTTAATTTTTCTAACACAAACATATTTTATAATTCAGATAATTTATCAATAAATTATTCAAAGTGATGATCAGTTATGAATTGAAGGTTAAAAAAAAAACGTAGAAAAAAATCTTCTGGACTTGGTTTTAGGTCAAAGACGTTTCACCTTTCATCCAAGTCACATCAGTTCTGTCCGACTGGTGGTGAGCAGGAGATATTTATCCCCATGGGTGGTGTTTCAGCCCTTTGATGCCCAACAATGTCCCCTAACGACTGAATCATTATGGCCCCAATGAATTGAAGGGTTTATTTTAAGGTGGTGTCAGCGTTAAACCACATTTCGGTACCTGTTCTCCTGCTGCTCAGCCTATGCCCCTGTCAGGAAAATTGCAATGCATCTGTGTTTGCAAAACCTGCCCAGGGACTGCAGATGGAAATGAGGTGTTAACTGTCTCTAATGTAATGTCTTTTCTCATTTTATGAGATTAATGTTTCTTTTAGACATAGTCATAGTAATTAAACTTTATAATAATAATAATAATAACAAAAGGTGGTCTGAGTAGATGTTATTGCTAATGTAATTTCAGATTTGTCAAAATGAGCACCAAGATTGTTTTGTGCTGCCTAATCAGTACTACCTGAACTACACCTCTCCTTCCAGCTCAGCATATAAATGTTCATTCCCCAGAGGATAAACCCTCTTCACACTGGGCATTCTACTAGATTTCCTCTAGTGCCACTCTCAGGAAAAATGTCATAAACTTTACTTTTCTACCCCTGGAAGGACTCCAGGGTCTATCAAAGACTTCAGTACATTCTATTCAATACTTTTGTATAGTGAGGTGTAACTAACACTGTAGCCTAAGTGACATTAATAAGTGATAGTGTTTTATTAATAAATTTTAACTGATAAAGGTCTAGGCGTAATCAATTATCACAAGTGCATTTTGTGCTGACTATCCTTTCACACACGTTTTGCACATACAGTAAGTACAGACCGGTACAGTGTGAGTATGTTTGTGTAACTGAGTTACCATTTTCAAGCTGTCATCATAGTGATGGGCTCGATCATTCAGCTGCATCTCCAGTTCCCCAGCCTCTTTTTTCACTGCTTGCCGCAGCTCCTCTATGTCGTGAATCTTTTCCCTATACACACACACACATACATGTCTTTATGCCTTTGTGTGGCCCACACCAATGCATGTTATATCACCAGATTTTAGCAGATCTTTCATAACTGTCCCATCTTACTTTCCTGGTTAACCCAAACCATAGCATTACAGAGATGGAAGCATGTGGTTTTTAATTTTGCCAATGTAAAATGTATTTAACCCTTGTGTGGCGTTCACTTTTTTGACTGGAGGTGTGTGCTCCTCCCTGGGTAAAGTGTAGTAGAGGCTGGGGGGGTGTCAGTGTGAGGGCCCAGAGATGATAAGAGCCTGGCCAGAGATGTGTGGTTCTCCATAGGTGAAGCAGAGTGCAGCATGGCCTGTTTGGGACTTAGAAAAATTAATGACCTGTGGTCCTGGTACTCAATATTGGGACTTAGAAAAATTTCTGTTCCCACACAGTGTAATACCAGAGGCATGAAACTCCATTTGGAGTACCAGGGGCACGAAGTTGTGGCCGGGCATTTTTACATTGTTTAGCCCAGGGAGGGGGCTTAAGCATGGGTACACAGGTTCAACCAGTGCGCCGGGTGCCTGGAGCTCTGGTTCACCAGGGGAGCTAGCCGGTTCCTTTCCCCCAGATTATGGAGCGCCATTCCCGGGGTACTCCCTGGTGATAACGGGGTACACAGGTTCAACCAGTGCACCGGGTGCCTGCAGCTCTGGTTCACCGAGGGAGCTAGCCGGTTCCTTTCCCCCACTATGGAGCTCCATTCCTGCGGTACTCCCTGGTGATAATGAAGCACAGAGTCCTTGGGGCTTTGGTTCAGACTATTTATATGTAGATATAATGTATAGTCCACGTCGGTTCAGGTCAACAGCTTTTTTTCTTTTGTCAGTTTTCTTTTAGTAAAAATCTAAAAAAAGGGTCAATTTGACCTGGACGCAACACAAGGGTTAAATTTGATTGTATTTACATCTATTAAAAAATGTATTATAAAAATGGTATATGGTATGCATCTCTGCATTTAAAACTGGGTAGTTTTGCAGACATCTAAACTTTAGGTTTTTCAATTTTACATGTCACTTGCTAAGTTTGCTTAACACCAGTAACACTGAAAGCAATGTTTGTCAAAGTCCTCTAATCTCGATTTCACCCACTACATTGATAGAAGCTTGATAAACAATTTAGCACACAAAATTAGTCACAAATTAGGCTTTATTTGCACAACATAAATTAAACATAAATTAAAAGTTTGTTTTTGCTGAGTAACTGTAGGTCCACAGCTGAAATAGAAATGACAAATGTGATAGACATTCTCAATATTGGTAAATCAAAAATTTATCTGGTGATCTAATTTGTAATGTGTTGTTAATCCACATCTACTGTAATTAACACTACTCAAGTCTGAGAACTGAGCAGTACCTGTTTTCTCTGTCCTTTTGAGCTTGTTTGATGGTCCTGTAGCTGAGGCCTGTTGAGTCAGCATGTCTGATTCTTCTGCAGCAGAAGAACATGTCACCTCACTATTAACCATGAATCATCGTCTTATCAGATAATGCAATATTTCATTCCACAGTGCTCCTCGCATGACCCAAAAAATGTTCATATCGTCTGAAACTTGAGATGATTCAGATGCCATCTTTGACGTCTTGCGTTTGGAGGACCTTTAAAGAGAAGAAGTAACTAGGATGGACATTTTTAGTTACTTTCTGTCATTTATAGACAGGAAAGAAAGCTGATATTCAAGGTAACAGCTCTGACGGCTTCATACCATAGGAGTGTTGAGCTGTTTCCAAAGACTTCTCATTGAAGACTCCTGTGTCACTTTCACTGACTTGAGACTTCTGTACAGCACTGTACTCTAACTTCAGAAGACAAACCACCTGTTTTGATAAAAACAACATTTTGTGAACTTATCTTATTTCACATACTAAAGTGGTGAGTAGAACAAAAAAAAAACATTTTTAAGTATAAATTGCATTCTATTATGAAATCTATTTTCTACTCACTTTGTATGCCCAAATCAATCTCATCAAGAGATTTGCGTTTGTAGACCTCAGTTCCATGTCCGATTACCATGAGCAGCTTGCTCATCTTTGCAAGCTGAAGTGTGTTCTCGGTTAGGCGATAGTATTCACAATGAACATGAATATCATGTCCCATAAATTTGGCAAGTTGATCCAACTCATTTTCTTTCAGGTTCATTATCTGACTAAGTGTATCCACATGTTTCCTCAGGTGGGTTGACGTGAGTGTTTCAGGCTTCCTTGCCCCACTTGCAGCTGCATAGTTCCTCAAACAGTCTGAACCTCAGAGATGAGAATCCAAATGCTGTCTTGCAAAGACGTACTCATTACTACCCAAAATGCCATTGTCCTTCTTTTTTGAAATTTAAATCCTGTGTCCTTCACCTTACTGTTCAGTCCCTGACACATATCAATTGTCCAATTACTTCAAAATTGTATTGTGCATTGGATGGCTGGTGGTCCCACACTTGTCTCCCTACACACAGACAGCTTCCTCCAGGTTCACCAGTTTATTAAAAATGCACAAAACAAACAGTGTCACAAGAGCATGAAATAGGCTACTCATTAAATGCAGAGTCCACTGTTAACATGAAGATCAAGATCAAGATTTTTTTTTTATTGTCAATTCACTATATGTGCAGGACATACAGAAAAATCAAAATACTGTTTCTCTCTCTCCCAATACTGAATGCCCATACCATTTAAGAAACTAAATATAACTAGAAAATTGCATTATTCTGAAAATAATGAACATTTTGACAACTGAATGCTTTTGCTAGCTGAAAATATACTGAAGTTGGAATTTCCCCATTTATTTGAATGGGTTAAGATTTTCAGAATAAAGCTAAATATTTTGTATGAAAGTATGAAATTTAGAAAAATTATGAAAAGAAGCATGAATGTCCTTGAGGAGCTGAACGTTTTGATAGATGAAATTATGCTGAAGGTATGCTGAGGTAAAATTTCCCTCATTCATTTGAATGGGGCAAGATTTTCAAAATAAAGCTCAATATTTCAAATGCATGAAATTTAGAAAAATTATGAAAAGAAGCATGAATGTCCTTGAGGAGCTGAACGTTTTGATAGATGAAATTATGCTGAAGTAGAATTTTCCCATTCATTTGAATGGAGAAAAGTTTCAAAATAAAGCTAAATATTATGAAAGTATGAACTTTATAACAATTCTGAATAGAAGCATGAATATCCTTGAGCAGGTGAAATCTTGATAGCTGAAAGTATGCTGAAGTAGGTTTTCACATTCCTTTGAATGGGGCAAAAGTTTCAAAATAAAGCTAAATATTAAAAAAAATGATGTTTAGAAAAATCCTGAAGAGAAGCATGAATGCCCTTGAAGAGCTGAACATTGTAATATCTGAAATTAGTATGCAGAAGTAAAAATTAAATAGAAGCATGAATGTCCTTGAAGAGCTGAACATTTTGATAGCTGAAAGTATGCTGAAGTTAAATTTCCCCATTCATTTGAATGGGGCAAGATTTTGATTGATTTGATTTGATTTATTTATTCTTTCAAGCATGTAAAGACAGTTGATATATCAATACACATAATTTTACACATATCCAACAAATGCTAATCCAATATCAATTTTCTTATACCTAGTACATGCTTGAATGGTGTTGTACCCGGTACTTTTTACCATACTGACTCTGAGAGACGAGGCAGTCCAAGTAACTACAAAACAGTGGTGATTTATTCCATGAACACAGGCAAAAATTAACATTACACGCTCAGGCATCTTGCACCTCCAACCTGCACGCAGGCAGATGAAAGATGAAAGACCCTGAACCAAACCAGGCCTATACATTATATCCCTTCGGTTGGACTAGCCCCATACTACACAGAAACGTCAACCGAGATGTCTCTCTTACCAGCTTTGCAGCTGGCCATAGCAGTGGTCAAAACATGAAGCAAATCAATGTGTGTGTGTGTGTCTGTTGAGTAAGTGGTGTGTAACTAAAAACATTCTCACACGACTTCTAGTAACATGTCGTGACTTAAACATAAGAACATATTATGGCTAAGGATTCAGTTATACACATCATAATAATAATATTAAACACCCTGTCTGCTGACAGTCATCAACTTTTCTCTCTAGTTATCCTTGACCAGATGTACCCTGTAGAAACTCATAAGCATGCCTAAGCGTTTAACAATCTAACGAGACATCCTATCTCCACTAAACATTTCTAATACATAAAGTATCTATCTAATTTCTATCTGACTAAAAATACCTAACAATGGAGTAGGAAGAAGTCAAACTTATCCAGTCCTACCCCCTGACATCATCTTACCATCATTGGTTTGCAAGCAGTATCTCTACATAGATAATTCTCTTCTACACCACACAAGTAATATACTAAAGAATTATAACAGAGTGTTAACATTCGTACATAATTACATTCTTAAATACTTATCTTCTACACCACACAAGTAATATAGGAGAATTTGTCATCAACTATGACACCTAGAAATTTAATTTCATATACTCGTTCTATATTAGCTCCCCCAATTTTCAATTGAAGTTCATTATCTAGTCTACGATTCCCATATACCATAAATTTAGTTTTATCCAAATTCAGAGATAGTATATTACTAT